GTCCATATCGGTTTACGACCTCGTAAACTCGGCATGCATCGCGGCAGGTGCATTATAATATCGTGGCGAAGGTTCGTTGGTCTTCCCGTTGGCCCTGACGCAGCCTCATCTTAAATAAAACCTGGAGGAACACCCGGTAACTTCGTTTAAAGTAGACAGCACTTCTTTCTTCTTCCCACGGGTCGCGATCCTCGGCTCGGTCGCGTTCCCAAGGATGAGCCACGCTTTATTGTCGAATTTAGAATGATGTAAACGAAATAACAACGAGCTATAAATATTTAATTAATAGACATTAACATCTCGCGACACCCGGCATACATTGCAATTACGAGTCAATAATTCATTTACATTCAAGTATTCTCTTTCTCTCGCAATTCAAGCTAAATTCTCTCTAAACGTTCATTCGCACTCGCTAATTTACGATTAAACCAAGTTCACAATTCATAATAAAACAATCTTACATATGCAACAATCATATATGTTCTGAAATGAATTATTATTATTTGACTATAGGCAACTAATTTACATATATACAGGGTGTCCCAAAAATGTCTTGCAATCCGGAAATAGCGAGTTCTTCAGATCATTTGAAGCAACTTCTTCCTTTATAAAAATTTTCTCCGAGGCACCGTTAACGAGTTATTAACGAAAAACAGTGACCAATGAGAATCGAGTACGGCTGACGCGAGGCGGCCCAGCCAACCAGCGCACGAAGCCCAGCGGTCGAGCGGTCGAATCCTAGCTCAGCTAGCGCGAGGCGGCCGAGCCAACGACGCCAGCTGAGCTCGCCTCTCATTGGTCACTGTTTTTCGTTAATAACTCGTTAACGGTGCCTCGGAGAAAATTTTTGTAAAGGAAGAAGTTGCTTCAAATAACCTGAGGAACCCGCCACTTTCGGATTGTGAGACATTTTTGGGACACCCTGTATAAATATGCCTGAATTTAGTTCCTATTTTACTATCATTCAAATTGTCTCAAATGGTATCACAATTTTCTTTTGTGTATATTTGAACCTGTTTCTTCGAAGTCAATGTTGATTCTTTGTTTAGACTTAACTTAAAGCAGCTGCCAAAGAAATCAAACATGAAATTAGGCCTTCATAATGCTATTACAAATGATGTTCCACGTAAATTATCGTAACGAATGGGCATTCTTCGTACAAAAAAGTATTAGAATTTTACATCGGCATTTACATGTTCCAGCGAATCAAGATAATTCAATCGAGCAACGAGCACTTAAGGTGGATCGCGTAGCCATAAAGAATTGCCGTCAACGTCGAGCCCGTTATCTGATAATTAAAACTGTGTCTAATTGCAGCGAGATACTAATTAAACAAGCCGGCGGCGGGTTTCAAGCGGCCGGGCATTAACGTCTCGTATAACTATAAAATAACCATTATGATTTTAAATCAACTAACGATACGTTGTCGAGCGCATGTAAATTAATCAGATGCAGGATGAATTATGCGTCCCCGACGACCGGTTTTAAAATTCGCACCGACGGTAATGAATAAAATGGAATGCAACCCATTGCCGGCTAATTAATGCTTGATAATTTCTGTCACACATTTCTCTTCCCCGCGAACATGATTTGCTCGCCTAACGCGGAACCACGATAACCGGGATCTGATAAGTTAATATCCATATGACTTGGTCGTGCACGATCGCTATTCGTTTACGTAGACGAGTGACCAGTTTTGCACTTGCATTTAACGCCGTTTCATAGAAATCTATTCTGTGATCGACCGACAGAATCGGACAGATAGTTCGAGCAAATTTTCGAAATCTTTTGGCGAAATAAACTCTTTGATTCCAAACTTCTAACTCGATGTATTCGCTACAAAATGAATTGGTGAAATGAAAAGCTGCGAAGACGCTAAAAGAATTTTCTGAACGCAGAATTACATTTTTGTTCGATTTCCATTTGTCACAGCTGATTTAGAAATTGTTGCAGATTTGCAAAATGATTCGCGGTTTATTCGCAACGTTCCGAAGCGTTCGACGAATGCATAAGTTCTCGGAGTCTAATCGTTATCGATCGGCGAGCTTAATGGAGTCGAGCACCGTCAACTTTCAGGAGCCCGAACCAGGAATCATAATCGATTCGAAGAGCAAGAAACGCGTGCTACGGCATGAATATTCATTTACCACGAAACAATAAAAGGCTCGCAGAATTAATACTCGGCCGGAGCTTGTGTCGGGACAAAGAATTTCGGGGCGCGGGAGGGCACGAAGCAACTGTGCCGCCGGATCCCGGCTAATTAAAGCATTCATTCAACCCTATGGATTATTTAAATCAATGTCACGCAGCTCCTCCGGAGACTCGTTAGAAATACGGGCCAATTACCATTAAGAGGTCGAGCCATCAGCCGAAGGGGAGAGATGTATTCCCATGCGAAGGCAAAGCAGTCTAAAATTGCTCGACGCACCGGTCCATCCCTTTCGGTAATAAACTCGGAAGTCTTGTATTAAACGCACCCTTTTAGCTGGCGACGTTCCGTCAAACTCATCGTACGCGAGCCCACGGATTCTGGAAATCTACGAATATTTCTCTAATTGACATTTGGAGCAGAACTTGGAACTTTACCGACGAAGATGCGCAACAATGTTCGAAAGTGTGCGACCATTCCACTTTATTCTTTGTTTGATTCTTGAAAGATGAGATACGAAAAGTAATTCAACAAAAAGTACTCAGTGAGACACTTCAAATTATCTTCATTATAATGACTCATGACAAAAGAAAATAAAAATTATAAGATTTGCCTGCAATGAATTATTTATAGACGAGGCCAATTATTATTCGAAAGGCACCCGGTGTTTTTCAGAATGTTCCGATTCACAGAATAATTTAGTTTCTTGTGTTTTTAAGGCTCGTCAAAATTGCATAAGTTAATCCTGGCTTTGTTTGTTTCTTGGGATATCATTGATCGTCACTGGTAATCCTGACCCTTTTGGCCAATGGAAGTTGAAAAGAAGAGAGAGAAAGAAATTGTTAACGTGCTCGTGATAATTACCAGGAGCGTCGGTAGCATTGCCATCGGTCTTATTCGTAGAGCCAAAACGCTATCAAGAAATTACTGAAACGTGAAATCAAATTATTTGAGTTACTTAGTCCGTAGTCTGGTTACATTGTCGAAGGAACGGAATTGAGCTAGAAGTCTCCCGTGTGCACAAAGTTATAATTATTATGTAAGGATAAGGAAATTCGCTTTACATAGAGAATCCACGAAATTGACTGAGATCGAGGTTGCTTGAATTATACTCCCGTGTAAATACATGCTAGACGTAGACGACGTATCTTAACGGGTCGCAATTATGGCGTGTACTCGCATACCAAAGCTAAGAAACAAAACTGTGATACCAGAATGAGTTGATCGAATTCTTTTTATTTAATTCTAACAGGATTTGATCCAAAAATGTGATCAAATGACAAACAAATAATCTCACCATTGGTGCTACAAGTAGTATGCTCTCAGCTTGGTCAGACGAGTAGCATTGTGGTCAGAAGACTGCATTCGATAGTAAGTAGTATTGTCAGTCATAGGTCAGACATACAATGTTCCGACGAGTTCTATTCCGATGAGATAAATAATTGTGTACTTTCCTTCGTCGGATGATAGTATAGTAGTGGTGGACTTTCAATGATCAGACAAGTAGTAGTGTACTCTCTCTCTCTCTCTCTCTCTCTCTCTCTCTCTCTCTCTCTCTCTCTCTCTCTTTCTTTCTTTCTCTGTGATCAGATAAGTGGTAATGTACTCTCTTCGATCAGACAAATGGCAGTGTACTCTCTTTGATCAGACAAGTAGTCGTGTACACTCTTCGATCAGACAAGTGGTAGTGTACTCTCTTTTATCAGACAAGTAGTCATGTACACTATTCGATCAGACAAATGACAGTGTACTCTCTTTGATCAGACAAGTAGTCGTGTACTCTCTTCGATCAGAAAAATGGCAGTGTACTCTCTTTGATCAGACAAGTAGTCGTGTACTCCCTTCGACCACACAAGTGGTATTACATTTTCATTGTTCGGACGAATAATATGAAACTGTATATTGCTTTCAAAGGAACATGACTCAATGTGTGATTGAACGCACTCTATGAGTGCGCCTGTTGCATTGAAAAATTGTATTTAGATAATTTCGATCACTGATAATAGAATCAAAGTGTTTAAAATCCGAGAGAAAGAAGAATTGTTGCAAGTTGCAGTAAAGAACACAAATCTTTATCGCGTATCACGAGGCTAGAAGTGGCCAGTAAGCGAAGATAAAATCTCATCGTTTCCATCCGCCACAGGATCCATCATCCATCAAAAAAAAAGGTGCGCCGTTTCTCAGTGAACAATCAATCATTGCGCAATCCTAACAGCAGTGTAACCGACATAATCGTTAAAACCGACATCATCGACGGTATCATGAAAAGAAAACGATCGAATATTTCTCTTCCCATCGGCGGCGGTGCTCCGCCGAAAAAATTTGCGAGCACTCTAAAGGCTTATCGATGCTAATGACAGCGGGCACCCCCGGCAAGAAAATGAAGTTTGCCCTGCAAAGTTATCTTTCCCCATTGAAATTGCATTTGACCTTACCCTTTTCGAGGGTCCTCCGAGTCGCGCATTAAATATTTATGAACTTAAAGGTCCAAGTGTTCTGCCGCGGCAGCCACTCCTCGAAGATTTCTCTACACTTTGCTCTGGACTCCGCTCGGCGAATCGCGTCGCTCTGGATAGATCCGACAGGCAACCATAAGAGGGGCGTAGTAACGTCTTACAGCGTTCCGAGCGAAATAGGAGCCACCAGCCGCCGCAGCCCGAGGAATGATTTAATAATGTGTAGAGCATTAGTCGAGCCGAGTAACGTAAGCGGGGATAATCCTTTTAACGAGTTGTCTAGCAATCCCTTTAACCCTGAAACCTGGGCGACAACTAATTCCGCCAGATATTGCGGGGCTGGCGGGGCTGGTGGGGGACATATATAAAGGGCCATTACCGCCCTGTGTCACACTCGCCGTACATATGTTACGCGCATAATGTACATGGAGCTGTTTTACCGTTTCGGAGTCTGCACGTACGCGCCCATTATTGAGTTACGCATGTTAGAAACCCGTAATACATTATGTTTGACGTGCCAACGTCCACGTTTCCCGAATGTTCAACGCGGCGATTCGTAAGTAACAACAATTCAGGTTAAATAAAAATTTCCTCCACGGCACTGGGACCAATTCATACAATATTTGCATCTTCTTAAATTTTTTATTCTTTCTTTTTACTCCATCTTTTTTTTGTCATGAATGCGTAAACTTCACAGTCGAATCACGAAGTTGAATAATAATTGATCTCTTTTCTCATCAATCTGCAATAATGTTCGGCCGAATTCGAGCACCTAAAGTATTCCTATTATCAATAACAAACATACACTCATACACGAAAGTATTCGAACGCTTACGTTTCTAACATTCAATTGATAAAATATACGTGTTAAACTGAAGCATTTGATATAATATATATTAAGACTGCGTAAGCAAAATTAGAAAATAATTCAACAATATATAGTGTTTTTACAGTACATTTATTGTAAACACGTACCAGAAATGGCTCACAAAAGTATTCGAACGAAACAATTAATAGTTACTTAAATTGAACGATTGAAGGTTTTAATAGGAAGTTGATCCATCTTTTGCTTTTATAACAGCCCTAAGTCTGTTTTCCATTGAGTGGACCAACCTAGAAGTAACGTTTGCATCTATTGATTGCCATATTTCAATAATATTTCGTTTTAACGCTTCTTTCGAAGTAATAACCGTATTTCTTAATCGTCTTTCTACTTCATCCCATAAATGTTCAATGGGGTTTAGATCGGGACTTTGCGGTGGATGTGACACCACGTGTGGAACATTATACAATACCCATTCTTTGACTATTTTAGCGGTACGCTTCGGATCATTGCCAGACCGAAACCAATAATCGCTAGGTAAATTCAATTTTGATACACTGCTTTTTAAATTTTCCTGCAAAATTTTTAAGTATTTCGTTTTGTCCATTATCCCATCGATGAACACAAGGTTTCCCACTCCACTAGATGCCATGCAGCCCCAAACTAATACAGATCCACCATTATGTTTTATAGTCGGTCGTAGATTTCGCGGTTCTAATTCTGTGTTCTTTTTCCTCCAAACACTTTTACGTCCATCGCTACCAAAAACGTCAAATTTACTCTCATCAGAGAATAATACTTTGTCCCAGAATGAATTATTTCCATAAATAAATTTGTCGGCGAATTTTAAACGTACAATTTTACATTTCTTGCTAATAAATGGCTTTCTTCTTGGAACACACAGAATTAGAACCGCGAAATCTACGACGAAACGTAAGCGTTCGAATACTTTCGTGTA